TTAAAGATATAACAAAATTAACTGAAGGTGGATTTAGTTCAATTTATAAAGCTATATGGACTAGAGGTCATATAACTGATTATGATGAAAATAAAAAGGAATTTAGTTATGCTGGTCCTCGATATGTAGTATTAAAAAGTTTAAATAATTCAAATAATCCAGGAAAAGCATTTTTTGATGAGGTTGGTATTTTTTATTTAAAACAAAAAAAGAATGCTATATTGTATAATAATACTAATTAATTTTATATTAATTACAGGCAATTAATTATTGTAAAATCAAAACAGCAATGATTACTCCTTGTTATGGTATAACTAAATTCCCAAATAATGGAAATTATGCAATGATTTTAATTTATTTATCAGATGGAAATTTAAGAGGTTATTTACAAAAAAATCATTCTATTTTGACATTAAAAGATAGAATTGGAATTTTTAGATGGTTGTGCATTGCATTATATTATATACATAAAGAAGATTTAATTCATTGTGATTTACATAGTGGTAATATATTATTGGAAGGAGGTTCTTGTTATATCACAGATTTGGGGTTATGTGGACCAGTTGATGAAAAGTCATCAAATAAAATATATGGAATTATAACACATGTTGCACCTGAGCTATTTAGAGGCACAAATAATATAAAGAACACAAAAGAAACAGATATTTACAGTGTTGGGATGTTAATGTGGGAAATATTTGCAGGCCATCCACCATTTGATGATAGAGCTCATGATCATCATTTAATTTTTGATATATGTGAAGGTTTACAACCACCAATATTGCCAGGAATGCCTGATGATTATGCACAAATAATGCAAAAATGTTGGGATATTGATCCATCAAAAAGACCAACTATTAGAGATCTTTTGGACTTTGCTAAAAATAAAAATAAAGAATATTTTAAAAATGATAGTAGTAGCAGCAGCAATGGTGGTGACAGTGGTGGTGATTCGCAACAAGTATACAAATCACATCCAGAAGCATACCATACAAGTAGAATATTAAGTGATGAAATTACTAAGCCAACAAGCTTCAAAGGTTATACAAATAATGATAGTTCATTAAATAACCTTGATTTTAACTCTCTTCTCTTGAATGATGATTTTAACAAGGGCGAATAAAAAATTTCATTAATTAATAAACATTAGATCTAGTAATAATAGTAAAAGAAAGAATTGACGGATGCTAATTTAACCTCCACTATAAACTTATTCATTATAATTACTTGTCTTTTTATTTGTCTTTATTTATTTCTTAAAGCTAAATTATAATAATAATTTTGAAATAATAAAATTTTTGATCATTGTTAATGGTAATATTGCTAGGTAGCTGTTTGGTTAACGCTGATTACGGTCTAACTTTCGGGTTACTCTTGTCAGTTAATTCAGTGCTTGTCAATTAATTAGTTTACAAAATTACTTTGGTTCTCGCTTACTGTCTCTTCCTTGTACCTAGACGAATTTGCAACCATATTTAATGATACCGAATAAATAAATGGTTCTTTTACAAAGCTCAAATGCTTCTATAAAGTTCTTTATGACTGATTTATTTCAGTTGTTTGCTTTTATCTGGCCGATTTTGATTTATTTACAAAGCAACTTAGCAGCTTGTTTAATAGCCCTACAATAACACTACTAGTATTTCCAACTAACCTTTAGAAAATACTTCACTAACCGTTGCTAACACTCACTAGTTAACTAACATTAGTACTAAACCCTTGCTTGCTCATTAACCAATGTTAGTCGTAATCTTTGTTTGCTCACCAAGACACTCTGCTTGTTTTATTTTTATTTATTAACGATTTTTAAGGAATAACTTATGTAATCAAAATAATGTAATGATTCTATCACAGAGTTTTATTTTATTAGAATATTAATTGTACATTTATGCATTTATTCTCCTTGCTTTTTCAAGCAAGGACCCAAAGTTATTCTTTGCTTTTTCCCCGTCCATAACTATTCAAGTTAATGAAATTTTTGTCACTCCTCGAAATAAAATTGTTTCATTCACGTACGTAACACGTTTATTAATATAAATATAAGAAGAGGCAGAGGTCAAAATTGAGAATGGGTTTGCGACGATAATTCTTACAAAATGACAAACAACTAATACTAAATTTATATATTTAATGGAAAATATGGACTAATCAAAGTATTTTTACACTACTAATCAACAACATTACATTTTCAAAATGATTTAATAGTGATGTTATCCGGCTAAAAAATTTAATGACTTGCTTGCTGGCTGAAAAATTCATCTATCAAGAAACGTACATAATGCTCTTGTATATATAAGTTACTATAAATGATTTAAAATGAATCGCACAATATAAATCATACTTTTATTTATAAATGGATGAAAGCTTCATATCATGATTTAAAATTTATTGAATTAGCATCTAATATTTTATAGCATTATATATTATAATATGTATAAGAATAATAAAAGAAGGAACGACTTTTGGAAGAAAAAAAGAAATACGCGAATCCTATAGAGAAAAACTAGACAAATTAGTTTGGGAATTATGTAAAAACTCATTATTTATGTAACATTTATTTATCATTAAATAAATATCAATTAAAAAAACTCTCGTTACTACAGTCAACGCTCGATATAAGGAAGAGTTTGTTTTGGCAAAAAACTTCACTACGGTTCAAATCATCTATAAATGCTTTCTTTTATTGGAAAGGTTTCATTCCGAAATTTTACAATTTACACATTAATATAGACATATTAATATATAATTTTGAAGCTTTATAACTCAAAACTTTTCTAATAAAATGAAAAAAGTGACCGATGGAAATGAAGCTGAGGTCTTTAGCTTTAATCCTATCGATTTAATTTTTTCTTTTTCTTTTTTAATAAGGAATTATAAGCTTTTAAAGTCATGTGATAATCATTGACTGTTATAGATGTCCTGCGCTATATATAAAAAGGTCGGCAAAAAATTAATTAAATTAATAATTTCTTTATCAGAAATTTCAAAATCAAACTCTTAATTTCTTATTCAGCTCTAATAAAATTTTCTGCACTCAATTCATCAGTCTTCAAGCACAGAGTGTAATTGCATCAGAAATTTTGAGTTGTATTAAGGATTTTGTGTAAAAAAAACATAAGCATCAATCCTATTCATAACAAGCAATTTTCTATAACGAACCTGAAGAAATGATAAAATGAATATTTTAACTAACAAAAAATTTTTTATCATTTATTATACTTTACTTTAAAAGAATTTATGACTCCTGCATCAGCAGGTTGTAGGTGGGTAGTAATTGTATTAGGAGGAAGATTACGAAGTGCAATATTCGTTAAAAGAATTCTTTCATCAAGAATGTGGACTGGTGCATTATCAAACAGTAGTATTCTTTAACCATTTTCTGATTCAATATTGATTCCGGGCCAATAGTAATCGACCGGAAGCTTTGACTTGTCAACACCAAGCATGTCTCTTGGTGTTTGATACTTATGGATAAATAAAGGTGGAGGTTTAACAGTCCCAGTTGCATTCATAGTCAATAAAATGGTTATTCTTTTTTTTTTGATTTTTTGGTACCAGGAAGAGTTCCAGTTGATAATGTTTTTGATGGTTCCAAATTCCAGAACAAGCCTAATATAAATAAAATATTTAGTCAATTTATAATAATAATAAATACTATAATTATATTAGAATGCTTTTTACCAGTTTCATCACAATTATAGAAGTTTTCAAGGAAATTCACTTATAATTTTCTTCTTTCTTTAAAAATGATTTCTTCAGAATGTGCAGAACTTGTTTCACCATGTAAATTATATTGTTTTATATTATTTCTTTTTTTAAAATTTGAGACCCAACCATCTGAGCCTTTAAAATCATTGATTTCTAGTAATTCAGCAAATCTCTTAGCTTTAGCAAGAATTACATCGCCTGTAATTACCTTTTTATTTTAAAGTGCTTGATTGAACCATATAATCAATGAACTTTCAAGCTCGGGATATTTTGAAGTTTTATATTTTTGTTTGTTGGAATTATCAGGATAAACAGATAACCATTTATCTTTATCCTTCAAAATGTTACAAACTGCATTTTCTGCAACTTTAAAATTTCCAAACAAGTTCCTTATATGTGAATGATGGATTCCTTTCATGAGATTCACAAAGCTGTTTTTTCTCACCCCAAGTCAAAACTTTTCTTTTTTTGTTTGATTGATCAATTGATGACATTTCTATTTTTTTATTATTAAATATTGTTTTTATTAATTAGTCATCTGATGTTTTTACAAATAATTTATTTAAAAGAAAAATTACATTTCTTTTAAATTACATTACAATTGGTTTTCAACGTAATTGTTTGATCATAAATTTTTTTTCCAACATAATTTAATTAAATTTATTGGCACATATTTAATTATTAATTCTTTATCATTCGATGTTTTCTTTACAACTTACCCATTTTACTCAATATACAATTAATTATTTAGGATAAATTGTTTGTTTCAATTAAATCGAATGATTTTTTTAATTCGAATTGAAAAAGGTTACACTAATTTTTATATTAATATTGTGCTTTACAATACGCGGCAAACATTCTGGCAATAAAAAGTAAGTGGTAAACTGGATTTGAATTGGATCCGAACTTGATCTCCAGTTTAAAGAGGTAACAACTACGTACTGGCGAAGTTTTCAGGAGCAATGGGTCCTATATAGCATTTCGTGTAACAACAAAATTCCATTATGCTCATATGACCATAAAGAAGGTCTTTTGTATAGTTCTTTTATTAGATTAATGAATCCAATATACTCGACAAGTCGGTCACATGTGCCCACCCTATGTGTGTGTGACCGACTATCGTGGATTAACGTTAAAAGCCCATATGCTTTCAAAAATAATGTATGAAAATTCCATAAAGTTGATACCTTTTAATACTAATGAATTACACAAGATGCACATATAAAAGACACGACGAATTTTTTATTGAAAGTTTATCCAACAAAAAATCAAATTATTAAAATTATATAAAAATGAAATTATCAGAACAGACAAGTATTTTTATGTTATTGGCTCTTGATACGTTATTTTTTCTTACTGAAATTATAATTGGAAATTATGTAAATTCCTTGGTGTTGATAGTAGACTCTTTTCATGTGCTAAATGATATATTGAGTTTGATTGTTGCATTATATGCTGCAAAGGTAAATAAACTTGAGTTTTTTTTCAATCAAGACAAAATTTGCTTATCTTTACAAAAAATTCGTTTGTGTATTTTTACAGATTTCAAAAAGGACAAAATTTTCATCAAAATATTCTTATGGTTGGCAACGTGCTGAAATTTTAGGTGCTTTAATAAACGGTGTATTTTTAATATCATTGTGTTTAAGTATTTTTATTGAGGCACTGCAAAGATTTTTCTATGCTGAAGGTTTGATGATGATTCATTTGATTATTGTTGTTGTTGTCCGTCATCATTAATATAAAATAATAATTTGTTTATTTTAATTTGTTTGTTCATTCAAACTAAATTATTCTTTTAGAAATTAGTCAACCAATACTAGTTCTTATTGTTGGATGTGTTGGAATTTTTGTTAATTTCATTGGCTTGACGTTATTTTATGGTAAATTTTCCTCCACAATTATTTTGTATGAATGTAAAACAATGAATAAATAAAGAAATTATTTTATTTAGAACATGGACACTCACATGGACATGGACATTCGCATGAACATAAAGAAAAGACAGAAAGTATTGATTTGATTTCAACTAAAGAAGAAGAAGAGAAAAGAAAAAGTAATCTAAAAGCAGTTGATGAGATTTATGTTCATCCTGCAAAAGCACGTCAATCAATTTTATTGGCTGCAAAAAGCTCATCTGCTTTTTTATCTGACGATCAACATGACAATGATTCCATTTCAATAATAACAGAATCAGCAATTTCAAATGATGTAAATCAAAACAATAGTCTTGACGACGATAATAATAATAGCAATAATAAAGAAAAAAATAATACTAAATCTTTAGATAATGATAATAACAATAATTTATCATCATCATTACAAGGACATAAAGAGCATAAAGAACATCATCGTAAAAACCTTAATATGAATGGAATCCTTCTTCATGTTTTGGGAGATTTTGCTAATAATCTTGGTGTAATTGCTGTTGCATTATTTATTCACTTCACCAATTTTTCATGGAAATATTATTCTGATCCAATTGTAAGGTAAATGAATATCAAAATTATATCAAAATTTTTTTATTTTTTAAAAGGAATTTTTTTTTAATATATCATTTTATATTCATTATATAAAGTATAATTATTGCTGGAGTAATTTTATCAAGTGCAATTCCATTAGGTAGCTATTATCTTTTTTTCTTTTTCTTTGAATATGAATACTTATTTATAAATTGATTATTATTAATCAACTATTAATTATCATTTAGTTCGAAGTGCATCTTTTGTTTTATTGCAGGCAGTTCCATCAGATGTTTCTATTGACAATATTCGAGATAAATTAAAAGCTGTAGGTTCTTTTATTCTAAAAATAATTGTGATTTTTTTATAACGAAAATAATAAATTAAATATTATTCATTAACTAACAGGTTGAAGGAGTAGTATCAGTACATGAATTACATATCTGGCAATTATCAGATACAAAAATTATAGCATCAGTGCATGTTCTATTATCTTCAAGAGATTATATCTTAATATCGTCAAAAATTAGAAAAACTTTACATTCATATGGAATACATTCAGCCACCATACAACCTGAATTTGTTAAATTTGATGAAAAAACTACCAATTCTGATAATGAGAATAGTGGTGATAGTGAAATGCGTTATATTGTGACTAACCCTTGTGATTTGAATACCGTTGATGATAAAAATTATGTAAGTAACTTAACATTAAAAATGATTTCTTTTTTTGATTTTACGAAATTTTATTCATTTATCATTCGAATATATTTATTGATATTGTAGGAGGGTCAAGAGTATGAATGTCTTTTACGTTGTGCAGAAGAAGATTCATGTAATCAAAAACTATGTTGTCCATCACCTCCCAAGGCTAATTCAGATGCATCAATAAATATCAAAGAATAAGATATTATAATTTAAGTATTTATATTATTATTATTATTATTATTATAGAATTATTATGATTTGATTTGTATCCATCGAGCGCTTTATTCAAGTATTTTCATACAATTTAACTTGAATGACAAGATTTATGAATAATATATATATGTATATATATATTATTATATTCTAGAATTTCAATCAATCTATTAATTTAAATTTACATTGAATAAAATTGTATTAACAAAATAATTAGCATATAAAAACAAGTAATTAACTGATCGCCACTTTTTTTTGTGCATTATATATATATTAATTAATTTTATTGATCAACTCCTTTAAACTTGCAAAAACAGAAATACTGTTGCTATTGCTTTTATTTTTATCATCATCGCTGTATTTCTCATCCAAATATTTTTCTAATATTTTTATAATATTTCAGCTGCAACTTTTCCTCAATTTTTCAGTTTTGCCTTTTTTTTTGCATACTGTACAAACTTCTAATACATATGATCTCCATTCTCTCTTTCAAATCTTTCTTTAGACATTTCTAAATTGGTGCCCTGTAACTGCATTAATTCAAGCAAACCCAACTCTTCTATAAATTGAGGTCTTGGAACATAAATAAAAGGTTTTTACTTTGGATTTCCAATATATTCTGAGCCCTAAAAATAAAATAAATATATATATATATACACACATTTATAAAAATTTTGATTAGATTGCTAAATCACAATTGTAGACAATTTTATCACACGAACCACCACAGACAATCGCAATACAATTATCAATGAATTGGAATTCACATTTTTCATGTTTTTTCTGGTATTCCAAGTTTTTTCAATACAATATCCCTTGATGATTTTGCTTTTCCTTGTTACTGATGGTTGATATCATTCTTATGGTTATTATTATCGTTCATATGATTATAAAATCCAATTTATTTATTGTTGAATTTTTGCAGAAAAATTAAAATTTCCCTGCATGATGTAGTAATGAAATTGATCAATTATTTATCACATTCTTATTACATATTATGTAAGATAAATTCAATTAAGAAATTGTTACACAAAAGTTATGTTGAGTAAATTGAAAATCGAACGTAAATATATTTTTTTGAATTGGGAATTATTTTATCACGTACAATATAATAACTTACTCATTTAATTTGACCCCCTCATATATATATACCTGCCTACACATACATAGATATATGCTTTACCATATATAATAAATAAATCTCTTGTTAGCACTTTTCTTGTTGAATAATTTGTGACATTTAAAAGTGGAAAAGTGGCAGTAAAATATAAAAATAACTATACAGTAACAATTATTTCTCTCCACCATGGGCAATGTTAGTTCTTCTTTGGAAGAACAACCAATATTATTTATAAAAAAACCAGATCGATGTGAGTTACAAAAAATAATGTAAACATTTACTGGTTTTTATTAAGCATCAATTTTTTACTGAAAAACAAATACTCTTTATTTCATTTTATTCTCAAATAATCAAGTCAACATTTCAGAAATAATAGTATCAAATCATAACAATGATCCGTACATTTCTTTTCCTGTTGCGTCAAACTATATTTCCGCAATACCCAACACCATAGATCTCATAGAGTTTTTACAAGATCCAAATTCCAAGGCTGTAGATCCTAACAAACTACTACTGAAATTGATAAAAGGCGAAGATATGGAACTCAAACTAAAATTTAGATTTAATATTGGAGGCAGTGACGAGAAAAAATCTGGCATAAAAGGACTTACATTTATTAATGTTGCTAGTGAAAAAGAGTTGGCTAGGATATTGACTGTTGAGTTCAACGATGATCCTAATGTAAGTTTTTTCCTCCAATATAATTTTTAAAGATTAAAATTTCTTATTAAATTTGTTATTATTTATTTCATAGTTACATAAACATCCAAATGTGACTTTGATAGGAGATTATGGACCTGACGGCAGTAAACCCTCAGATAACGAATGGACATGGAAGTGGTCACCTCCCCACAATATGGATGAAATTCATCGCGGCTGGAGAAACCATTGTTGCGTGAGTCATTTAATATTAAAAATAATCTTTTGATAATATTAAGTAGTCATCGTTGGATGATTTTATTAATTACTTTCTCTTGCTGTTCTTGTAGTTTGCTGAATATGATAAAAAAAATCATTCTTTTCAGCTGTTAGCATCTTTTACGTTTTGGGTTGCTGGTATATTATATTTAGTTGAAACTTATTTCATTCATTTGATTTCATTAAAATTTTTTTGTTAACTCAACACATGATTGACTTTAATAGATATTTCGCGAAGCCACTGTTATCGAACGCCTAAACATTCAAATTCTGCCGAAAAAATATCGATTTTATCCGGAGAAAAGAAAGACGGCAGCGGCTATGCATCATCATCATCATCATCACTACAAGCATCTCAATCAATGCCAATTTTTGTTGGCCATTCACTTAATGCCCGATCGTCAAGTCCTGAAAATATGTTTCTTTCCATTCCTAATAATAATAATAATAACAATAATAATAACAACAACAACAACAATAATAGTAATAATATTAATATTAGTCATAATAATAATAATAATAACAACAACAACAACAACAATAATAATAACAATGCATCATCACCTCCACAGAATTTAGGCAAATCGCCATCCATTACTAGTGGTGGTGCTGGGAGTTGTCGTCAATCATCAGAAGATTTGACGTACGAGTGTGAGCCTGAAGACGGACCTCTGTTTCGTGCAACTCTTACAGCATTTGAAAAGAAAACGGTTTCATTGAAACATCATATTAAAAGAATATTGAAAGCTGCCATTGCTTCTCATGAGGTTTTGATCGGATCTCAGGGAGCTGACCAAGAACTTTTAGACGCTTTAAGGGATGCTGCTGTATCTCATCCACAAGCCTTTCAACCTGTGCTAGATAGTTTCCTTGAAGAGGCGTATAAAAAAATTAGTTTATATCGAGAGAATGTTGCAAATCAAATGACCATGTTGCTCATAGAACCCTTACGTAAATTGTACGAAAATGATATAAAGGTGGCCGATAGCAAAAAGAAGGACTTTGAAGAAGAATCGCGCGACTACTACCAATTTCTCTCTAAATACTTGTCTATTAAAGTTGATTCCGCAAAAGAAAAGAAAAAACTTGAATCTGATACAAAATATCAAAGTAAACGTAGAAATTTTGAATTAAAAAAGTTTGATTATTATGCATATATGCAAGATCTTCATTGCGGTAGAAAAGATCAAGAGATTTTATATCATTTGATAAATTTTGCGGAAAAACAATTTACTTTCTATCAACTGACAGCCACTGGTATTTTAGATATGAAACCGGGGTTAGATAAATTGAGTATAGATGTTGCTGAAGCAGCAAAAGAGAATCATTTAATGAGGAAAGAAAGAGAGGAAAGACGTAGAGCATTGGAAATTCGTATGTCACCTAATTCAACATCAACTGTCGAGAATCTTAATGAAAATGATTTATCGAATAACAGCTATAATAATAATATTGGCGGTGGTGGAAATATAACGGATAATACAAATGATAACACAGATAACGTAACAATGAATCAAATAGGTTCATTAGTTCATGCAGCAAATCGATTCAAAGGAATTCGTGATTTGGAACATCATGATACAGAATCTGCATCATCGGTTGGTAGAAAGAAGGAAGGATTTTTATTTGCTACATCGCGGGCAACACAACATGGAACTACAGATCCAATTGCAAAAAATACTTGGCACAAGTAAGCAAATTTTATTTTTATTATTAAAATTTGAAATTAGTTAATATAATTAATTAATTAATAATAAATAAATAAAACAACAATAATAGATATTGGTGTGTTTTGGCTGGTGGACAACTTTGTGAATATAGTAATTGGAGAAAACAATTGGAAACACATAACGAGCCAATAAATTTACGATTTGCCACTGTTAGAGAAGCAAGGGGGATTGACCGCCGGTTTTGTTTTGAAGTAATTACACCACAATTTAGAAGAATATATCAAGCAATGTCTGATGATGATATGAGTTCTTGGGTTACAGTAATTTCCAATGCAATAGAGAGCCTTCTAAATGGTACTAGTAGTTGTCGTAATTTAGATAATCGAATTTTAACTTCAGATACAGGAGATCCTGGAGCAGTAACGTTGTTTAATAATACAAAATCAGTAAAAAGAAGAGGAACTCTGCCCAGCTTGTCGGATAAAAGGAAGAATGACATGAAAAAAAATCATGTTGCTGTTTCTTCAATATCTGAAGAATCAAAAAGGCCTACACAATTAAATGGACAAGCTCGTAAAAATTCAATTTTTAATAAAAACTCTACTAAAATTCTTGAAGAAATCATTGGCTCAGATGCATCTAATGTTTATTGTGCTGATTGTGATTCTCGTAAAACAGAATGGTGTTCGATAAATTTGGGAATTGTATTATGCATTGGTAATTATCATTTTAGATAATTTATTTTTTATTATTTATTTTATTATTTAAATTAAAAAAATTCTTTTTTCAATAGAATGTTCTGGAATTCATCGTAGTTTAGGAACTCATGTTTCAAAGATTAGATCCCTTACTTTGGACACAACTTCTTATACACCAGATCTTGTTCAATTGATTAAATCTATTGGAAATGCTCGTTCTAACGCAATTTGGGAAGCAAATCTTTTACACTCTGATGAAGAAACTGATTTACCGCCAATCCCACCTTCAAAGGATGACGCGCCTCCTCCAGTACCACCAAAGGATCATATACCATCCAAAGTTCAAAATTCAGATTGGGATGATCTTATTAATCTTATAACACCAACACCGGCATCGACGTCATCTACCGCCACCACTACATCACTAATAATTACACCGTCATCACCACCATCATCGCCATCAATAGGATCCAAAAAAAAAATGGTTAAAATGAAAAAACCATCAAGTACAGATTCTCGTGATATCAAGCAGAAATTTATTACATTGAAATATGTTGATAAAGCTTTTGTTGATTTTTCACTTGTTGATGAAGATAAGACGGCAACTGATATACTTTTTGAGGCAGTAAAGATGAATGACGTTCCTCAAGCAATGCAAGCGATTGCATTGAAAGCGGATTTAAATGCTACAAGACGTTTTGAAGTTGCAGATGATCATGGATTGAAGTCACCGGTGATATTAGCCTTACTTCATATCGAACCTTCAAGAATGATATTTGAAGGTGGGAGACCTTTGTTCCAGATGGCAGAATTACTTTTACAAAATGGTGCAAGTCTTGATAATGTCTTGTCAGATAATCTTGTGGAGATACTTGGTGTAGCATCACAACCGATTACACGAAGTTCTGCGAAAAGTGTAGGTACTTGGACTAAAGATATAGTGAATGATATAAAGAAATCAGGGAAAACTGTGTATGATGTTGTTCAGTCAAGTGGGAATAATGCGGCAATTCGATATCTTACACCAAAAATGCTTGCGAGAGGAACTTTAAATCCCACTATTAATTCCATTAGCAATAACAACAACAATTCTATTTCTAATTCTAATTCTATCATAACAACAACAAGCACTGGTGGTTTAGCAGGAGGACAAATTCCAGAAAAAAAGCTATCCACCTCAAACATAGGTCGGTCAATATCAGTAACAGTCAAAAATGTATTGTCATGACAGGTTCATAACTTTGCGTTATTAAAAGATTGATTGCTAAGATTTTATTTATTTATAATATTAATGCTATTTTATTTATTTTATTTTAATTAATCTATTGTATTAAATTCTATTAACTAACTGCTTATATATAATATTTTATTTAAATTCTATGTTAATTATGTTAATTGTAATAATAATATATTTGATATAGAGTTGGCGGAATTAATTAATTAATTTTATATTTTATTTATTTATTTATTTAAATCCTTGTATATATATTTGTTTAAATAAAAAGAATACGAATAATTTTTGCCTATAGGAAATAACTTTTTTGGCCATGTTTTTTACTCGGATTATTATGACTGATTATTTGCAATGAAATTTCTCAAACATTTAGTAAATGTTTCCTAATAAATTATTATTATTATTTAAAAATATCCGACACAATGTAACAATTCATATTTAAATTTTTGTTGCCATTCTTCAATAATATTTGTAATCTCTTGATCCAAATCTTTTGATTTTTCATTATCAATCTGTTTGTTTTAGAGAAAGAAAATTAACCATAATATTAAGATAAATAAGCAGTCATCAATTCAATCCATACCGTTTGTGCAAGTTGCAATATGGCTCGACCTGCTAACATAGCATCTTCATGATTATCTTTAATATCGATATTAATCACATGAACTGGTATGTTTCGTTCTTCTCCACGATCTACCAAATCTATCATATATGCATATTATTTTACAATAAATATTACTTAATCAAATAAATATATTAAACATTAATCTTTTCTCTTCTACACCCACTTCTTTCTTATTCTTCTTATTCTTCTTATTCTCTAATTATTGCTCTCCTAATTATTATCATTGTTATTATTATTGTTATTTATTACCTTCACAAATTGCATCAAAGCAACGTTCTTCACATGTAATAATAACATCAAAATTTTCTTTTGCATTAGTGTACCATTGTTCAGGTGCTAATTTAATTTTCCGATTTCTATCTAACATATCTAACAATCCATTTTGTTTATATCTAATAATAATAATAATAATTAAGTATTGGATACAAATTTCGAGCTTTATAAATAAATATTATCACAAACGCACACACACACATACAACTTGGGATCTTTCATAAATAAATCTTGATACATGTACTCATATGGTGTACCAAACTGATATATATTTGGTTTATCGATACTAGGTCCTGGGAGTCTAACAGCCGAGCCTGTCCCGTAAGAACTAACTGAAAATCCACGTTTACTACATACATATTGTAATTTAATGAGAGGTATGTATATATGTACATCATATTATATATATAATATGAAATATAATTAATGCTTACGATAAAACATGATGTGCTTCCATACTACGATTTTGATTGCTTGCGCACACAACAGCAAATGATTTGCCCATTATTATTATTTTTTATAATTAGTTGAATTCTGAGGGGGGCAAAGAAGTTTTTTTGGAAATTTAGACCGTGCGACATACGTAATAGTAATAATGAAATAATGAATGGCCATCTATTCGTCTTACCTCAAACTATATAGTGCTTACAAGGACCGCAGTTTTAGGTCCTTTAACATTTTTAAGAATTGACTCCTATCTTTCAAATTACATAAATAATACACATTTAAATACTTTTTAGAAATGACAATGACAAGTGAAGAAAATACCAATTCTAATGCTATTCCTAATCCCGAAGCACAAATAACTTATCAAAAGAATTGGGAGTATGAACAATCTATAAAGAAGGAAGAGGCAGGTAAAATACCTCTTATATGTCTTGAAGAAGATATTAAATCTTTATATTCTGAATATGAAAATGGCAGTGAAACATATCGTAGCAAGATCAAGGTTCGTTGTTATTTATATTAATCTCGTATTATTTATTTAATAAATTGGCATTTAAGAGTTTCTTCAAAAAAATAACATCATAATTAATATAATAATATTTATTTATTTGTAGAAATTGGCAGAAAAGCATAGTAAAATAAGAAGATGTCGTGGTGATGGAAATTGTTTTTATCGAGGTAGTAAATTAATCTTGCTTTTTTACACTCACA